AAATCAATACAATCTTTTTGGGAAAGCAATTTGGTTACATGTATCAAATACATAAAACTGCTTAAGACTTGGTAATTTCCTTTTTGGAAACTTTTCCCTAACAGCAGCTACAATATCCCTAGCAGCAGCTTTTATGTAGTACTTTCTTTGTGCCAGGAATTATCCAACAACTCCAGGTCACAATGCTACAGAGTAGAGGATCTAGAATTTGCACTTGGGCACTGTGGTTCCAAAGTCTGTGTTCTTTTGCCGTCTTAGCTTTGAAGAGGTCTACTATGGCACTATTTGTAACAGGAAAAGTTTAGAAAAAAACTAAATGTCCATCAGTGGGGTAGAAGTTAAATAAACACTAGGATATCCATTGATAGGACACAAAGCAGGGCATTAAAATCAACTTTTAGAAATAACATGTTTGCATGCACAAGCAAGATAAATAGCTTAGTGTGAGGGAGAAAGGCACAGAACAGTACACATAGTGATTTTAGTCTACTAAATGTTTTCTTTGTATGGTGAGATTTTAATTTTCTTCTTGGTGCTTTGCTGTACCTTCCAAATTTTCTAAATGAACTTCCTTTTGTACTCAAAAAAAAAGTTACTAATAAATTTCTCTCTCGGTCAGCATGGCTCAATCAACATGAGTCATATAATTTAAAATATTCTAGTAACCATAACCACATTAACAGAAATAAAAAGCAGGTGAAATTTTAAAAATATTTTTAACCTATAGTTCTAAATTATTTCAACAGGTGATCAACATAAAAACATTATTTTACTTTTTTTTGTATTAAGTTTACAAAATCACTTTTAGCACATCTCAATTCTGTCTAGTCACATTCCAACTGCTCAATAGCCAGGTGACTAATGATTACTGTAATGAACAACACAGCCATAGATCCTTGGCAGAAGCCGTACTTTCAAATCACATGTGCCCAAACCATGACTCTAGAAAACCCAATCTCCACATATCTACCTCTCTGTCAAACTGCCTTTTTAAGGGGCAAAGAGATGGGCTTGGGAGATACATGAATCTGCATTTGAATCCTCTAACACTTACTGGCTGTGATCTTCAGCAGTTAATTAACTTCCCCTGTGCTGTATTGACCTGTTTTGTAAACAAGGATAACAATACCTACTCAGAGTCACTGAGATTGAAATAATGTATTAAAACATATAATATGGAAGCACTTGATAACAGATTTTTATTATCTACTCCTTGCCCTTTGCAACCTTCTTTATTCAGATAAAGTAAAGGTTAGACTAAGCAGAAGGGAAATTCTTAAAATGGAGATGGTAGAAAAATCTCATTTTAAATGGTCCTAAAACTAGAAAAAGGAATACTCATTCACTGTTGGGAAGGCAGAATGGAGCAGTCACTCTGGAAAACAGTATGGAGGGTGCACAAAAAAGTTAAAAATAGAACTACCTTACCATCCAGTAATTGCTCATTGGGTATTTACCCAAAGAATACAAAAACCCAACTCAAAGGTATACATGTACCCCTATGTTTATAGCAGCATGATTCACAATGGCCAAGATATGGAAGCAGCCTAGTGTCCACTGATTGATGACCGGATAAAGATGTGAACACACACACACACACACACACACACACACACACACACCCCAGAATATCATTCAGCCATAAAAAATGAAATTGTGCCACTTACAAGGACATGGATGGAGCTAGAGTATAATAGTAAGCAAAATGTCAATTGGAGACAAATACCCATTTCACTCATATGTGGAATTTAACAAAACAATGAACAAAGGAAAAAGACAAAATAAAGAAACAGACTCTTAATTATAGAAAACAAACTGATAGTTACCAGAGGGGAGGGGTGCCTGGGTGGCTCAGTTGTTTGGGCGACTGCCTTCGGCTCAGTTCATGATCCTGGAGTCCCGGGATCGAGTCCCGCATCGGGCTCCCTGCTCGGCAGGGAGTTTGCTTCTCCCTCTGACCCTCCTCCCTCTCGTGCTCTCTATCTCTCTCATTCTCTCTCTCTCAAATAAATAAGTAAAATCTTAAAAAAAAAAAAAAAGTTACCGGAAGGGAGGGGAGGGGAGGGGAGGGGAGTGCAGGATGGGTGAAATGGGTTGATGGGGATTAAGGAGTACACTTGTGATGAGCACTGGGTGATGTATGAAAGTGATGATTCACTATATTGTACACGTGAAACTAATGTAACACTGTATGTTAACTGGAATTAAAACTTAAAAAGCCAAAAAAAAAAAGTCCTAGAATTTTGGGGGTGTGGAGAGGCTCGTTGGGGAAATCCACAATACATTTGTCCTTTAAAGGGGGCTACTTAATGGCAGGCCAACGAATGGCACACAACTTTGCTTGCTTCACACGGCTTTCACTCAACATTCAATTCATTAACAAACAAAAATAAATTACTGAATATGTGCCAGCATGATACTAGACAGAGGGGGTTAGGAGTGGGGAAAAAAAAGGGGGGGGTATATTCGCTTAAGTAAATGGACGAATGAATAAACCAATGAATATTGTACCTTTTCTAATTTTTCTTAACTCAGTTGTCAGTTTTTTGAGTTGCTGCTCGTTTCACCTAAGATTTTACTAGGTCATTATGTAATGGGGTTTCCCCAAAAGCTCCAAATGAAATATGGTCAGTCTACTATGGCTGAATCTGGGTGACGGGTATATGTGGGCTCAACTTTTGTGTGGATTTCAAGCATTTCAAAATAAAAAACTGAAAAAAATCACCAGTTACAACGGAAGGTAATCATCCTACGTATCAATGCTTTTAAAGCATCATTGTTTATAATAGATCATCAGAACCATATAGATGCCCCCAAATGGTGAATGACTAAGACAATTCCCATAACCAAGAGGATAAAATACTATATAGCAACCAATTTACATCTGCAGACTTTGTCAATTCATAGAAATATGTAATGAAATAATGTGAACTGAGGAAAAAGGCAGAATAGGATCCATGATTACAGTAACAAAAATCCACGTGATGTGCATTTACAAAAACTAAAAATGTACTTGACCAGGTAGGAATATTACTTCCTCTTCTAGGTAGATTGCCCAGGTTCATAATTAAAAAAATAACAAATATGGTAAAGGCTGTTTGCTAAGCAAACGTATCCTACACCAGAGGGTGGGACAGCCAGGGAAAACTGCCTGTCTAGTGAAAAGAGCACCAACAAATGAGCACTGGTTTTCAATGGTCATGATAACATGAAGTGATACAGTGTACAGTTTAACCCACCACTTGGAACCTTTTTCCTAATCGGAGTAATTATTCAGAACAATATATTCAACACAAACATCTGCCGACTAGTGTCAGATTTTATTTTTACATGATAACTTCTCAGTCCTTTAACCACAAGAGTGCATACAAAGTGGGGGGAAAAAAAAGCCTACTCGCTTTCACTGTTACTGTGGTCTGATATCATGAAAGATGGATCAGAGTAGCTGGTTCACATTAAGAGATTCCCCAATTTTCTTTCACAAGCACTTTGTGTTTGAAAATATAAAAGCTTGCCAAATCATTTAGTACTTAAAATTAACAACACCCTCATCATCTTGTGGTTTAAATGATGACTGAACAATAACTCAAGATATTTGCTTTACTAAAGATCTTTTAAAATTGCTCTTCTCTTGAACCCTAGGGGGAAATGATTTCAAAAGGCTGAACACATATTCTGATTCAAGATGTGATTTCTCACACATCCAACCTCTGTAATTTGGATTATAGAGCAATATAGAGTAATTCTGGCACCAACTCTTTGGCAATGTTTGAAAACAAAGATACCATTAAACCCATGACCCAGCATTTTTTATTTTGCATTACATATAAGTAAATTTGTAAAGTAGGTCTTCTTTAATATAAAAACCATGACTTTAATTTTTCTTGAAAATGATTGAGAATATGGTAATTAAGAGACACTCCTTGGTTCAAAAGCTCAGAGATAAAATCTAGGTAGAATTTGAACACACCTTATAAAGAGAGGAGATCCAAACTGCATAAACTTAACAAAACTTTTGATTTAAGCATTAAGTTTTCTCTTCGGGGGCACCAATATAAAAAGATTAAGAAATAACAATATTTGATAAAGTATTCGCCTTGTCCCCAAAATATCTACACCTTTAAGGAGAAGGATCTGAATGCCAATCCTGGTTATAAAATCTACCATCTGGTGATCTTGAGCAAAATATTTAATATCTCTCTGATTCAAATTCCCTGTCTATAAAAATTAGACTTAATATACAGCTATTTTTTAATATATAATTTCTAAATTAAAATAAAGCAATTAAATGATAAATGTGAAAATGCTAGTCCCAGTCATTGCTAACATGTATTTATTATCCAGCAACTGTCTTATTCAAACAGATGATTTTTAAAAGAGCCTTTAATCAGTATCAGAGCCACTTTTTTGCATAACTTTAAGCCATAGGGCTAATTACACACGACACAAATCTTACCAACTGTACTTACTATTTAACACTAAAACATAGAAACGATAGTTTTGCATCACTTTATGTCATAGGGCTAATTATACACAACAGAAATCTCACCAACAGAACCGAACTATTTTAGCTTGGAGACTTAAAAAAAAAAAAAAAATACTAACAGTCCAAAGCATTTAAAGAAGCCAACAAAAAGGGAAAGCTGCTACGGATAAACGGAGACTTTCTCGACATAAGTTTACCTACCAAGAAAAACTAAAAGACATACCTCAAGCAACCAGTGCAAGATGGAAAAAGAATACCATTAATGCATAGGACTCAATGACACTGAATGACAGCAGAGACGTTTACTAAAATTCAGGTGTTCCTACTACTTCCCTGACAAAATAAAACACAACACAACACACAAAAGCAGAAAACCACCAACACGCAAGGCACCGGCTTACCCGCTTGGAGCTCCTCCGAGTAGCTCCAAGGAAAGGGGACAGGAAGCTAAGGTATACTTAATGAACGAAAGCGAGGGCTGGGGGTTTGGGAAAGTGCACGAGATGGACCCTACCTTTCACAGACTTCCCAATACTGTGTAAGCGAGTGATAGAACTGTAGTTTTGGGCCACATTCTTCAAAAATGCTTCCATCTCTTCCTGGTGGTGGTAGCCGAAATCCAGCGCAGCTACCGAAGGCAGCAGCAACCCTAGCCACAGGCGGGCGAAGTCCATGTTCTAGAAATGAATACAAATAACAAAGCTGAGAACCGATAAGGAAAGGGTTGTGGACGTCACTAGCTCGGCTCAGCCCTGCAATGTCAAGTCTCCTGACACTGTCGCTCCCTGCTTCCAAGAAGGTAAAAGTTGGAAGCAGCACCTTCGGGAGTTGGTGTGAGCGGAGCACCGGCAGCCTCCAGTGCCCTCCATCCCGTCGCCCGCCCCTTCCTCCCACCCTCCCTCCCTCTCCTCCGGGAGTCGCCGCGGGCCGGCAGCTGCGGCAGCTGCGAGAAGCTCCGCGCGCCCTCAGCCTCACCCCTGCCCAGGCGCGCACCTCCACCCGCCGCCTGCTGCCCGCCGGGGCCCGACATTATAGCCGGGCCGGGGGACGGCCGCTACCGGACCCCGCCCCCGGCCCTGACTGACGTGTCGCCGGCCCACTCGAGCGCCGTGCGGGCCCCTGCTGGGCGGGGCCGAGCGGCGCGGCCGGGGCGGCTCAGCACCCTTCGCACCTGGGCGAGCTGGAGCCCGCGCGGCTCCGGGTTATGGGGGTGCGCTGGCCGGTGCGGGTGGGCGGCGGAAAACCGAGTCGCCGGTCGCGGTCCCAGGCTTTGCCGGCGTCCCCGGCTGGAAGCGTCTCCTCCCCTCGGCCACGGCTCCGGCGAGGGGCACGCGAGTTTTCAGCTGTAGAACCGGGTCCTTGGCTCACCTGGAGCCCCGGCACGCGGTGAGAGCTCCACGTGGCTCTCACGGGTCTCTGCGGCGCGAGTGGTAGGGGCCGCGCTCCCAGCTGTGCCAGGCTCCCCAGCCGTGCTCTGAGGACGCGTGGGATTTTATTTTATTTTTTTAAAAGATTGATTGATGAGGGCGCACGAGACGGGGGAGGGTCAGAGGGAGAAGCAGACTGCCCACTAAGCATGGAGCCCGATGCGGGGACTGATCCCGAGACTCCAGGATCATGACCCAGCCGAAGGCAGCCGCCCAACTGAGTGACCCAGGCGCGCAGAAGTGTGGGGTTTTAGAGAGAACGCATGTGTGTAGAAATTTTAAATTGCCAACTGTGCAGTATAGGAAAATTTCCGACAAATTTATTTGGTGTGTGAGATTGGCTAAATCAGTCAAATTAAAACTGGAAATCACATGGAAGAAAGCACAGCTACTATTTGTAAATCCAACACTCCCCCCCACCAACACTCCCTAGGCCAATTTTAGTTCTCTTTCTAAAAATGCTTCTTTCTGGAAGGTGGTCTACATTTGCACTAGGGATAACAAAGATTTCAACTAAACCCGGGAGGCGGTTTGTGGTGCGGGCCAAGACCTCACACACCTGTCACACATTACCTGTCAGAGAGATTGGAGATTTGTGCCAACGGTCCAGTGAATATGAAAAGCTTGAAAACCACTGATTTGGGATAATACTCCTCTTTAACAGATTAAAAATCCTAGAGCCCCACTGAAAACGAATTGAACAGAATTTCTCTCCGTGAGGTCCTGGAAAGGACATTTTAAAAAAGTGTCTTGAGTGAATCAAATATGCCATCCGGAGCTGAAAACCGCTATTGATTTGCCTGCCTCTTCTTTGTTGCAGATACAGATGCTCTTGTAGAACTGAGCTCTCAGTTCTCAGAACAATGAGGCCTCCTGTGATTCCCAGGCAGCAGAGCCCGGATGGATAAAACCTAAGACTGTAGCGTCACAAGATATGGGTTCCAATCCTTGCCCGGACTCTCTGTGGTTGTGTCAACTCACTATGCCTTAGTTTCCTGGTCTGTAAAATGGAGATAGTAATTGCGCCTACCTAACTAAAGTTGGCAGGCACACTGTAAGAACTGTATGAGGTGTTTATTAAATAATCTAGTTTAATTCATACCTTTAGACAGACTTTTCTAAGAGTCAGAAAATCTTGACACGGGTGTGTTTTTGAGCAGATTTCTTTTTTATCAGAGTTACTATGCTAACTGACTTCTACTAGATGGCTTGAAGAGGTTCTTTCACTGTTGTTCACTGACTAAGAGGTTCCAAAGGAGGTGGAATGGGGTTGAGGAGGTTACATTTAGGCAAAGTTACTATAAAAATGGGAAAGGGATCTGATGAGGAACAAAGTGAAAGCTTGCTGATTGGACTTTAGAAATGATACATTTGTTATAGAAGAAGGTAGCAGTTATAAGATTTCCTTCAGGGGTACTGTGGCTGGAGACGGGAGAAATGTTGGCTTTGTCAATACTGGGGTGGAGATTGAGGGGTTTTGTTCCAGAAAAACAAAGGGGTGAAGTAGAGTTGAAATTCCTGTCCTTGGCATTCACAGTAGGTAGGAAAGGAAGCAAATTCAGAGGAGAACCAATCAGAGAATGGAAGTAGAGGGTACAGAGGACTGAGGGCTGAAGGTCTAGAACCTAGTGACTCAAAGTGTGGCCCAGGAACAGAGTTGACATCACCTGTAAGCTTGTTGGAAAGACAGGCTCCCTTGTCCCATTACAAACCTACTGAATCAGAATGTGAATTTTAATAAGATTCTAGTTAATTCATACGTACATTCAAATTTAATTTGTTCTGGTCTAGAAGTAGCAAAGGCTTAGTATTAGAGTCTAGTGAGAAATAAAGAAAAATAGAAGGTTGGTCTAATAGAATAAAACACTGAAGTATAAGACTTCAGAGGTGATCTTTCTAAATATGACACCATTAACAGTAAAACTACAATAAAGAGGCTAATAATTTGACAACATAAAAAATGTATACCTTCTGTAAAGGAAAACTCAGCATAAATGTTCCAGAAAAATTACAAATTGTAAGAAAGAATTACTAGCTCTTACAAACCCAAGAATGGACAAAAGACATTAATTAGCAGCTCACAAAAGGAGAAATACAAATGACCAATAACCAATCTGGTTAGCAATCAAAGAATTTACAAGTTTAAAGGGCAAAATGGTATGTTTTGCTTTTCACTAAGAAAGACAGTACTTGGACAGGATATGAGGAAATGGCATTTCTGCTGTTTAAACGGTAATATAAATTGATACAACACTTTTGGAGGACTATCTGGGAATAGATATCAACATTTAAAATATGTTGTTCCTTTCTAGAAATTTAAGCTATGCAGGTAATTCAAAGAAATGCTAAATTTATATATGTTAAGATCTTTATTAGCACCACTGTTTTTAATTATGAAAAAATAGATTAATATAAATGTCAAATAATAGCAGATTGATTGTATCAGTGGTTCTCAACTGGGGCAAGATTGCCCACAGAAGCCATTTGGAATAGCTGGAAACATTTTTTTTTTAAGATTTTATTTGTTTGTTTGTTTATTTATTTGAGAGAGAGAGAGAACGCATGCTCACAGGGGCGGGTGGGGGTGGGGGAGGGGCAGAGGGGGAGGGAGAGGGACAAACAGATTATTTCTCTGAGCATGGGGCCTGATGCTGGGCTTGATGTCAGGATCTTGAGATCATGACCTAAGTGGAAATCAACAGTCGGATTCTTAACTCACTGAGCCACCCAGGGGCCCCTAGCAGGAAACATTTTTCATTGTCATGACTAGGGGAATGGTGCCACTGGTATGTAACTGGTAGATGGCAGGAATGCTACAAAACATCCTACAGTGCACAGTACAGGCCCCACAATAAATTATCCAGCCCCAAATGTCAGTGCTGAGGTTGAGACACCCTGAGTTAGATGAAGAATATTACATCCATAAAATAAATTATTTTTTAGCTATAATAATGATGATGTGGGTCTGTATAGATGGGCTTGGAAAGGTAAATCATTGAGTGGTAAAAACCAGATTATAAAAGTAAAATGAATGGTAAGATCCCATTTTGGAAAGCAAAGAAAAAACTATTCCTAACAGCAAGTTTAAAAGGTTGCAAAAATGCTGAGTGGTATGCTCTGGATTGCAGTGTTTTGATTCTCTCTTTTGAATCTTTCTGTATTTTCTTTTTTTTTTTTCAAAGATTTTATTTGACAGAGAGAGACACAGCAAGAGAGGGAACACAAGCAGGGGGAGTGGAAGAGGGAGAAGCAGGCCTCCCGAGGAGCAGGGAGCCCTATGCGGGGCTCGATTCCAGGACCCTGGGACCATGACCTGAGCCAAAGGCAGACCCGTAATGACTGAGCCACCCAGGCACCCCTGAATCTTTCCGTATTTTCTGAAAAAATTTTCCAGCAAATGTGTTACTTCATTTAATCAGAAAAACAAGGCATTTTCATCTAAAAGCAGAACAGAGCAAAAAGCTGAAACATCTGAGATGAACAGTTCTGAATGAATACAATATCTAAAATTCTTTGTACTGAATCACAGAAGTGAAGAAGAGTGAAGAAGTGAATTACAGAACTGGAAGGCCATTGGAAATGGGATATGAAGGAATTGAAAAGGGAGAGAGTAGGTCAGTCCTGCTCGAAAAATGCTGAAGTTCCCTGAGTTAGTAGCAGCAATTGGAACAGAGGGAAAGACTTATAGCTACGGTCTAAATAACTCAACAGAGGTCAACAAGAATGAGAAGAGAAGTGTCACTAGATTTTGTGATCTTTAAGCTTTCTTTTTTTCTTCTTCCAAAAGTGTCACAAGAAAATATGAACAACATAAAAGAAATTTCTGAAACCTACAAATTCCAGTTGTCCAGAAACAACCATTCTTTTTTTTTAAAAAAAAGATTTATTTATTTATTTGAGAGAGAGAGAGAGAAACAGCATGAGAGGGGAAAGGGTCAGAGGGAGAAGCAGGCTCCCTGCTGAGCCGGGAGCCCGATGCGGGACTCGATCCCAGGACTCGATCCCAGGACTCCGGGATCATGACCTGAGCCGAAGGCAGTCGCTTAACCAACTCAGCCACCCAGGTGCCCCAGAAACAACCATTCTTAAAACAAATTTAGGTATCAGTTGGCCCTCTAATATTGCATAGTTGTTTCTATTTCACTATTATATACAGAACACCCATAATCATTCTTAGAGCTAAATCTTTGAGCACATCCTTATCTTCTTAGGATTGATACTTAGATAAGCAATTGCTAGGTAAAAGAGCATTTATATTTTTAAGATTTTAAATATTTTTAAATATTTAAAATAGTACCAAGTTGTACTTCTATAAAATGTCAAAGTAAAATTTCAAAATGTTATAAAATAATTCTCATACACATACAGTTAAACACAGGTCAAGTTTTTAACTATTGAGAAAATCAGCAGTAAACAAAGCTGATTTAAAGAAAGATAAGAGAAATAATGTGCATACATCAGTATAAGAAAATACTGAAGTCATTCTAAACTATTGCTAAATTAGATAAAAATCTGATTAATGTCCTACAGAACATTAAACTGTTACCTTTGGTGCTATCCTCTTTACAGAA